TTTTCACCGAAAACTTTTCTCTGCTTTTTAGACCAATTTTTAGTTAATTTAATAACTTTTAGTCCGCAATAATTGGTAACTAATTTGATGGCATTATATCATATAATTTTGTTTGAAAAATATTAAATATATTTATTGTTTATTGTTTGCAATAAATAATAAGTAATCATAAACAATAGAGAAATAGATGAGACTTAAGGCAACTTCAATTGAAGTCTCGTTTAAAACTATTGCGACAGTTATTGTGAGTTTGAAAACTAACGCCTCATTTCATAAGACACTCATCGATGGCTTTATAGGCCAGAGAAATGGCTTTCCTTCTAATTGACAATTTGCTAATTAAAGCAAAAATATATTTTATATTTAATGTGTAGCGATAATCATCACATTCAGAGCGACTCTAACAATAGTTAAGACAATTTCATAATTTTAATTTACTTATTAATTAAAACACACATAAATTCAAAAAAAACATTTTCTCATAATTTCATAACTCAAGACTTTCTGCACCACAACAACAGTACAATTCCTAAAACGCCTTTCATTTGTTTTTTAATATTTAAATTGCATTAAGAAATATACAGTAGAGATATATTATGGTTACACTTTGTGGAGCTATTTTCGTATGCATTTCCCATTAGTTGTCGACAATTATAGTGTTTAATAATTAAGTTTAATGACCAGCGGTCAGACCCCATGCAAATTATACGATAATATTAACTGACATTTTTATATTCTAAATTTTAAGTGAAATTCTTTCGGTACAAAGACTAGACTTTTACTAATCAATTAAGACTCGGTTTGTTTAACTATTATATTTGTTGAACTAAATATATAACTTACGACCATTTTAATTGAAAAATGACATTATTTTGCATATAAATTGTTTTCATTGGCTTTTTATGCATATTTTATGAAATTGTTTTATTCAGCTTTTATTTATTCAACTGAAAGAATATTTCCAGAAATTGATATGTTTTTAATGATTTTCACCAAATAATTGTATATTTTATGCTGTATTTAGAAATGTAATCAAAATTTAATTTAAAGTTTTGCATATTTTTTGTGTAAAATCAAAGAATATATGTCTTATTTATAAACTAATTTACTTTATATTATGAATAAATTGCGAAATAATGTTTGTTTAGTTGAAACGAAAAGATAATTTGATATTAAAGTCACAGATTCTTAACATTTTTTGTTAATATTATAATACAATAAAAAGTTGATTACAAATTCAACAAATGTTTTATAAATAATAATAATTTAGCGAAAAAAATAAACATAATTCTAATCACACAAACAGTGAACACAAATAATAATAATAAATAAAAATAAAAACAGAAATAAAAATTTTTAGCCACTTTTGAAGAGTTAAACAATACGGTAGAAGTCAGTGAATACGAGAGAGAGAGAGAGAGAGAGAGAGAGAGAGAGAAGAGTAACTGTTTGTTGTGTTATATAGTGTACACCACTAGTGGTTGAGTAGGTTTTAGTAGGTTTTTGGCAGTCATTGATGCGATCGAAAGACCGAATCGAAGAACAGGTGAACTAAAGTTATATACTATAAGAGTGTCAGACAAACCATTTATGAGGTATACGTCACACAAGCGTTGCTAACAATTTGCGATCCAATCCTTGGCGGAGAAAAACTCCGTTCAGATCATGACATTTGTGTGCATTTTTATGCCTCCAATACATAACCCCATAACTCGAAAATCGCAGTTCTTTTCGGAGTTTTGCTTTCTTCGCGCAAAAATTTTATTGACTTTTTTCTCTCATCATATGATTAGCAAAAAAAGTTGTCAAAAGTTGTAATTGAATATTAATGTGATCTATAGATACGGGCGAACAAGTGTTGTCCGATGGCTTCTTAAGGAGGCGAATATGCCGGCACTCGACAGCACCAAAATGGGTGCACTCGCTCTTCATTACGCGGCCGCCAAGGGATGCCTCGATTGTGTCAAATTATTACTCGAGTCGTGTCCAGAATTAAGGTATTGTTCAATCATTATTGTATATATTTCTATATTTACTTATTATATTAAGTATATAACTTTAAACTTATTATAAAACTTTATAAAACTTAAATATTTTTTAGTCCTTTACTTAATATATTTGTTGTTAAATCTTTCCGAAAGTGAATTTAAATGTTTTTGTTGTAATTCAATGACTTTTAGTGTAAGTGTATTTAAATGTAAGGAAAAGCGTATAAATATTGATTAGAACTTAAATATTCATCAGATTTAAAATAGGATAGAAATATGTTTTCAATAGGAATATGAAGATTCAGTCGTGTATTGACTAAAAATAAACTTAAAAAGTCCTTAATTTGTTGAACACGACTGTAACGGAAGGCAATATTCAATCTATAATTAAAGTGAAATTTGGAGATGAATTGCAATTTAAAATTATATTCCCAATGCGTGAGCCATGCATTGCCTCCCACTTTGATTTTGGGCTCATATTTACACCGCTTAAAGATTTAGCCGAAATATTTGTTCATAATTTTTTAATGCAATTAATAACAGGTCTTTTAGTGCTAAAAGAAATTATTTTATATAAAGTATAATAATTTCATTATAAGTGGAAAATCTAATTTCATTTTTTGTATTACTTTTCGGTGGAAGAAAAAACCTTAAATAAAATTTTTAAAGTAAAAATAAAAGCCACAGAAAATGTAAAAAACGTGAGAAACACTTTATATAAGGTTTTTTAAATAAATGGATAAATTGTGAATCCAAATAAATAACTGTTTAATATATGAAAAAGGGGTTCATATATAAAATATACTGTATATGAAAATAGATTGTATAGTAAAACTGTTTGTGTGAAATAGTAAAGCAAAAAAATAATATTTCGATTTTATTTTGCAAGTGTTGTTCACAAGTGCGTGAAAAAAGGTATTTCATATATCATTCATCTTATTGTCTAAGAGTTTTGGCATTTGTCAGACTCTATGCATACCATACCTGTAGAGCACATACCCATCGAGTGAAGCATTTTGAGGTCAATCCCCTAATAATATATATTTTTTCTTGTTTATTAATAATTTTTAAAGACATAAAAAACAATATCAATAAATGTGTCAAAACATAATTTATATTTTTATAAGTATTTTCTATTAGAGACTTAATGCCGGACATAAAAACTACATGATTAAAGGGATAACCACGATATACGCTAAACAGACACACAAACATGTATTCAGTAAAGTTAACGCTGTTTTTTCAAATTCCGTCAAAACCTTATTGTATATTTTAATAATTATTATTTAGCCATACGTTCACTAATATTAGGGTTAATTATAAACTCCACTTTAATTATAACAATCATTATTGAATGAATTTTTATATTAATAAAATAGTAAACACACTATTGTTTAAAATAAAATATTATTATTATTGGAAATGCTATGAATAGGAAAATACAGAAATTCATAAAATTTGATTGAAATCTCCGGTTCACCTGTTATTTGGTGTTTGAAATGCCGTAATAAACAGCGTGTTTATCAAAAACTTCCGAAATTATGAATTATTATTTCTGCGAAGGCTATTGTCTAACAGAAAGTCTACTAAACTTTTCAAAATCAAAAATCTCTTTTCGGCGAGAGATTTGTTGTACAGAGAAATAAGACAATCAAAACATCATTAGTAGAGATTAAAGTCAAGGCTATCATTATATTTGTAATATCAATACAAATGTTAGTTAATGTCTTAACAGACAATTGTCTTATTAACTATACCATTGGGACAACATTTCGCAACAAAATCTGTTTTTTCGTACAATTAAAACAGTTTCCCAATACAGACGTGTAAAGTCTGTAAGTATGTATGTACGGCTTAAACATCAAAACAGATCAAAAACTATTCAATTATCAGAAATGAGAACAATTTTTCACATTTTATGTGAGAAAAACATTTTTCCCATTAAATCTTTATTTTGTTTGACAAATCAGTTGTTTATCCGAAATACTGAACCATTAAGTTATTGAACTTTTATTGTGAACAAATATAATTCATATTATGTGAGCGCTTGTAGTAATAGATATATCAGATTATATAAGTTATACAATGTATGCATTATATGTTTATAAATTATAGCCCAAGTATTGAAGTATTCATCAAATTTTAATTTAGTTGTCATTCAGAATATGAGCCAAAGAATAGATGTGTTGTTAACTCAATCTGCGGTCTCTCGGCTTTACATATCAATACATAATCATATTATTGATGTCTATCTAAATGTTTTGCTCTCCTTTTGATTGAACAACTTTATACACCAATAATATAGATATTATAATAAACAGTAATAACTATTTTTCAATATCACATTTTTCCTGAAGGTCTATATATTTTGTAACTAAATTCAGGTTTACATTCAATCGGATTTAATAATAGCTAACATTGTATGAGTGAACCGAAAATACAAATTATTAGTTTTATAGTTAATATGCAATACGGCATACAATTTATGCAAATACCATATCATGTAATATACGATTTGAAATTCATGTCAAAATTGACTATTTTTTGTCAGTAATTATTATTCAATATATTTTTCTGATTTGTTTGAACTTTTCTATTATAACAATAAAAAAGATAACTTCTGAACAAATATCGAGAATCCGTTTTAAACTATTTGTTCAAAACTTTATCGAAATTAACTTAATGTTATAAATAGTGAACATTTTTATCGTATATTCAAATACATGTTTTGAAAATGAAGTTACGATAAAAATTAAGAGTTAATTACTTTCTGTTATGGATATAATGATATAATACATGTTTACATCAGATTTGTTGATTAAAAAAATATTTATTATCTATTGAATGGTATTATGTATTAAATTGTAGCTAAAGATATAGAGAGAAAACAGCGATCCATTAGATATATCACTGAATACAACACTCTTCACGGTTTGTCAACAGCGCAGCAATACTTCCCTTTTACCGGTTTATCGATACTTACCAATGAATACAGACCTGAATTTATAGTTTTGCATACCTTTTACAAAAATAAGTTATACCTAAATATATCTGTCTATCGGCATCTAAACTGACACATACTTTAAGTTATTCATGCGATTGTAAACAATTTTCGATACAAATTTTAAACTATTTTTGCTTATTTTATAATAACAGAGTTTAAATGCTGTTAAATCGTGTAATTTTCATATAATTTGAGCGAAACAACTAAAAATATATTGTTTTAAATCATACATGAGATTCACTTAAATTACTAGTTAGAGGACACACTAGTCTCAGGAAATTTACTTATTTTTTAAACCTCAGTTTACCATTAGTTATAACTACTGTTGTGATAATGTCTACTGTTTTTCTCTTTTTTCTCTTTTCTACTAATTTTAAGTTTGTTTTAATTAATTAAAGAGAGTAGAGGTTTGTATATGTTTTGTTTGGGCACAAGTTTGGGCTAAATATTTACTGCGATTACGAAATGTTTGATTGGTGTTTGAAATGAAACTCCAATTTGATATCACTTTTATTATATGTGTGTTAAATGTAATGACACGAGAAATTTGTTATAAAATTAAACCACTCATCAAATATAGCGTAAAGACATTATGAATGAAATTAAAACAAGACAAATAAGAAAATGATTTGTCGGTTAAGTATATAGAAATCAATTGCCAATTGAGATGAATATAGCCGTAAGTGTTGATGAATTTAATATTGAGAACTTAATGGAGCGCTAAAATAGAGAGACAAACGCTTGGGTTTTTATTTGTCAGTCGATTCAGTCATTGCTTTATATATTATGGAAAATATTTTGATTAATGGTTTCGAAGAAATAAGAAGAGAAGTCATTCAACAAATTCTTTATTCTCTATTTAATTCTTTAGGCTTTTCTAAACATTTCAATAATTATTAGTTATTATGTTTTGACAGCTATTTTAATCATTTATTTAGGAGTCTTTGTAAAAATTAGTTATAATTTTCATTTCACACTATAACAAGCGTTTGAATTAAATATGAAAATTATGTATGAAATCAGTGCCAACGCACAGATGGATAACAATGTGACGCCTGTATATCTGGCCGCTCAAGAAAGTCACACAGAAGTCCTCAAATATCTGGTGCTATCAGCCGGAGGTTCGCTCCATATTAGAGCCAAAGATGGTATGTCTCCCATACACGCGGCCGCACAGATGGGCGCTATTAAGTGCCTGAAATGGATGGTATGAATGCAACACAAGCCACACATTTTACTATCAATTAACTACACTTTACTCTGAAATAACGTCACATTCAGGTCGAAGAGCAGGGAATAGATCCGAACCTGAGGGACAACGACGGCGCCACTGCTGTCCACTTCGCCGCCAGCAGAGGACACACAGAAACGCTTCGATGGCTATTGAAACATGGAGGAAGAATTACTTTAGATAAATATGGTAAAAGTGCATTGAATGATGCGGCAGAAAATGAACACTTGGAGGTAAGTCTCTCTCTCTCTCTCTCTCTCTCTCTCTCTCCCAGTCTAACTCTTATAAGAAAACAAATATAGGTATTAAGAGTAGTGTTTGTTTATAAATTATAATCATTGTTGAGCTTATATAAGAGATTATAAATCATTTTCATACAAATTGC